GCGGCTGGAGATGGCCGAGGCTGCCTGCTCCCATTCCTGCACAGGACGCCATCATCTCCTCCCTCACCCCCCCCCACAACCGCCGCTTAACGTCTTTAAGCGTCGCATCGTTACAGCCGGTAAAGCCGCGTCGTTATCTCCCTCATCCACCTCCCTCCCTCCCTTACGTCCTCCCACTCTCCCAGTCACATCTCAGCCGCTAACAAGCTCGAAATAAACAGAGGGCAATGCTGGCGTTTTAAGCAAAAATGTCAGTCCAAGGAACTTTACAACTTTTTTTTTTTTTTTTGAAACGATTAATCGGTTTACCTAGAAAAATAACAAATGCACTTGTCATATCCCAGATGAGAGCAGGAGAGGAGGCTGCAGTATTTCCTCTCGTTTTGGCGCATCCGTGGTCCCGATTCCGCATCCCGAGGTTCCTCTTGCTCGATTAAAGGGATGCTGGGATGGCGGACAACAAGGGATGGGAGGCATGCAAAAAAACAAAACAGGTAAGGGAGGTTTAAAAAAAAAAATAATGACGTGTATATATACATATACACCACTGTGTAGGAAAAAATCCATTCAGGGAAGGAAAAAAAAAAGCCCAAAAGGATACATATATAAGCCAAGAAGGTATATATGTATGCGCATCCGAGGGAAGAGGAGATAAAGGGATGGAGGTGGAGGAGGAAGAGGAGGAGGAGGAGGAGGAGGAAGAGGCGACTGGCTCGCGCACAGACACACTGCGCCGAGGCGAAGGCACGAGCGGCAATTTATGCTTTCTGGTCGACACCACCCCCCACCTCATCAACACACACACACACACACACACGCATAGACAGGAGCGTCCCGCCCCTATCTGCCCCTGTCCCGTACTGGATGCGTGGCCTATCTGATCAGTGCAGAGGGATTAACCAACGAGGCCAGCTGGCAGGGATTACACAGGAAAAACTGGGCTTGGGGTGGGGTGGGGTGGAAGTGGCTATGCGATGGGGTAGCACCGTCTTGTGTCTTTACATGCACATATATGTGGCGAGATACGCAGCGTTCATGCCTGTAATTGTCACGCAACGATGTCGATGGAAAGGGGTTCGGTCGGGGAAGTTCACGTATGACACGTCATCCATGCGAGGGCAATGTCGTCATCGGTAAATGAAGGAAAGGACATATTGGCTTCACTGCGTAAGAGGTCGCACAGTACAAGAACATGTTAGGTCATATGTCGAAGAACACGGTAGGTTCTCCGCATGACAATGTGGGAGGATGACATGGATGAGAAGTCATTCGGTCCACTATATGTGAAGATGCATCGTTCACCGCTCTAGATTCACGGCACGAGATGAGAGGAATTTCACCGCGGAATAGACGCGATCCACCGTATGAGCGCATAGGAGGTTCATTCTTGTTGGGGGAAAAAGGAAAAAAAAAGTGCTCGGTTTACATTGCGAGAACGTCCTAGTTTCAGTGTAGGCCGACGTCGGGTTCACCGCAGGAGAGCGATTAAGTGATTCATTGCACTGTGCGATGACGTGAGCTGCGCTCTAAAGATCCAGAGAACATACAAGGTGCGCCTTAGGAGAACATTGTAGTTTTTTTTTGGGGAGGGTGGGTGCTGTTTTTTTTATATGTGGAATGATGGGGTTCACTGTACAAGCATAAACTTGGTTCACTGCATGAGGATCCATACACACACACACACACACAAAAAACCTTTTCTCCTTACTTGTTTAGAGTACGGTTTGCCCCCGATTTGCTGTTATCACAGTGAATAATATGAATGAATATCAAGATTCAAAACACCCCACCTCCCAAAAAAAAAAAAAGAAGAGCGTTATTCACGGGATTTTGCAGTGTTACGTTTACTTAAGAAATGTGCGAGGTTCCAAGCATTTATTTTGGTGATTCATCAATGAATTGGCTTATTTAAAAAAAAAAAAAAATTAATGTCCATCCTTCTGTTCAAAAAGAGGACATCATTTCAAATTTTCAGCGGCGAAAACACTAAAAAATGTCATTTTAATTCAGTTTCTAGTTTGGTCCCTTACATATAAGTAAATAGGCAAAAATGATGATTATTATTATTGTCCAAAATAAAAGCGGATGTTTGCAAATGTCTTACTTTGTTCTGCTTTCATGGCACACAACAGAAAGCTGAGAATGTTTCCTGTCCAGATCATTTGGACAATTTCAAATTAGAGGCTTCTGAACGATAAATCAGTTATCCAAAATAATTATTGATTCATTTGGTCACCGATTAGTTGTCGATCATAATATATGCAGCAGCAACAACATATTCGGTTCATTGTATGAGAACCTGAGAATGTATGAGGTGGAAGGAGTGATTTGTGTTCCTTTATTTTTTTTTTTTTGCACGCGACAATGCTGAAGGAACGCTGAAGCAATTGCCCACAGCCCTGAATGTCGAAACTGCCTTCAACAAAAGTGAGAACACCCCAAAGTGAAACCGGGGCCCAGTTAGCACACCCAAGTACGTTCACGTCCAAGTGTCATACATGTCAGTGCAATGGCCGCCCTTTTGCACGGCACGCTTGATAAATGGATATAAATGCGGCAGGAGGCAGCACCCGAAAGGGGAGGGGACGGTAGG